CTCTCCAACAGCAAGATAGGAAGCCCAAATGGGCAATGGATTGGAAGCCTGTGAACAAGAAAGAAAAAGAGCCAGAAGAAAGGGTCAAAGCATCTACATCTCTACCAGTGAATGTACTACTGAATGCAACAAAGATGATTAGGGGACTGGAGGCTAAAATAAATAAAGAATGGTTACTGGAATTGGGCATGTCTAGTTTAATAAAGAACTAAGGGGTGACATGATAGCAGTGTTCCAATATCTAAGAGGTTGCCACAATGAAGAAGGAGTCAATTTATTCTCCAGAGCATCTGAAGGCAGAACAAGAAGCAATGGGTGGAATCTAATCAAGGAGAGAAGCAACCTAGAACTAAGGTGAAATTTCCTGACAGTTAGAACAATTAAACAGTGGAACAACTTGCCTCCAGATGTTGTGGATGGTCCAACACTGGAAGTTTTTAAGAAGATGTTGGACAACCATTATCTGAAATGGGTTTCCTGCCTGAGCAGGGAAGAAGGCTCCAAGGTCTCTTCCAACTCTATTATTCTGTTAATTTGCTATACAAAGGATTTGCATGCTTCTTCCAAAGCTGCTATTCTTGCTTGTTGCTTGTCTCTGAAACTTTGGCAAACCGCACACCGACCTATCAAGCTATTTCACACAAGGACCATTTCTTTCCCATCTCTTTTCTTAACACTATGGATCTTCAGTAGGCGTACTATGCACCACTGGTTTTCCTTTCAGCTCTGCATCCTGCTTCTTACAGAATTCCTCCCTTTTTTTGGAAGGTCCCTTCCAACTGTTTTTCTCTCATTCTGTGACATCTTCTGAAAACCCAATGACCCACCTACTTAGAGGTAGATTTCCACATTATTTATTTATTTATTTATTTATTTATCTATTTGTTTGTTTGTTTGTTTATTTGATTTTTCAATCACTTACAAGATAATAAGTATAAAGATAAACATAGTTATGAATACATGAAATGAATGCGTATTAGAAAAATAAAAGAAACAATAGGACAGGGACGGTAGGCAGGTTGGTGCGCTTATGCACGCCCCCTATTAAGCCCTGGGTATCCTACTTCGATGTTTTAAAAGCTCTTATTTGCTTGTATTTAAATTGTTCCCTTGTGGAATACATTTAATGCAAGCAGCCCAAATTTCTAGTGCTGAGTGACTCCTGTATCCAGCTTTATGACCTGCAATTAGAATAACCAACCTGCCATTTAAACATCTCCGCAATGAATAGGAGGCACCTCCTCCACAGGTCCGTGAGCAATCACTCCATGCTCCCCAGGCATCCCAGCCACTTTCTTTATCTTCATTTGGCTGGGTGATTCTTGAAGTCTGGAAGCACAAGAGAAAGAGAAGCAATTCAGGAATCCAGAAAACCTGTCTATTTTGAACATTCTATTAGCTGGCTTTTCATGGCAGGGAGACCAACTTCCACAGGTAGGATGCCTAAATAGGATCTTGCGAGACAGAGAAGGAGATGAATACCTCTTTTCCAAGGATACGGGTTTTTCTTGTTGAATCTAGCAAATGTTCCTCGAAGTCTCATGTTGGAAGAGAATGCCCACAGCAGCTTACATAAAATTAATAACCAGACAGGCGTATAATTTTAAAGGCTATGAAAACTAAATACAAAAGGATGAAGACTGAAGGCTAACTCAGGTATTAGTTCTGATTGCTTTGTCATTCCTAAAATAGCTACCAGAGACGAAGAAGGATTAAGTAATGTCATCATGCCCAAAATTCTGAAATAGCAATAGCACTTAAACATATATAACACTTCATAGTGCTTTGCAGCCCTCTCTAAGCTGTTTTCAGAGTCAGCCTCTTGCCCCCAACAATCTAAGTCCTCATTTTACCCACCTCGGAAGGAGAGAAGGCTGAGTCAACCTTGAGCCAGTGAGAAATGAACTGCTGGCAGTTGGCAGAATTAGCCTGCAATACTGCCTTTTAACCATTAGCGTCACCAGGGCTCACTGAACTTCTGAATCTTCAACCTTCTCCAAAGTTCTGAATCCCTCCTACTCTTTGGGAAAAGTGGGAAGCCTCTAGGCATGGGGCAGTTCTCAATGGTCTGAGTTGGTGAAGGAGGGGGAATCTGTAATTTGTCTCTGTTTTGTCACACAATGTCATCTTTTGCAAGTCCTCATACAGAAACACCCAAATTTCATGAATTATTCAAATTATTTCATAAGATTTGATGAAGCTTGCAAACTGGATGGCCATATAAATCTATCTATCTATCTATCTATCTATCTATCTATCTATCTATCTATCTA